CGATGGGACCGGAAGTCAGGAGTAGAAGAGGGGCGGAGCCAAGGCGCCCGTCTGCCACGTGCTGATTGCGTGTGACTGCTAGGCTGTGGTGGCGTCTAAGTTTAACTCATACTTCGAGTTCCTGCTGTTGAGCGACATTTATGCTGTGGAGTCGCGGTTTTCCAGTGTCGACTATGAAGCGCTTCGAATTACTGGGCGGTGCAAATTTTCGCACAGGTTATCTTGTGAGGCTAGATTACCTCTGAAAACTCGAACAGCGAACGAAATTAGAGCAGAAACAAAGGCCACGAGGCGGAAGATCGCTCACAGCAAAAGAAGACTTTCTCAGACCAAGTCAGATGCTGCAAACGCCCAAGGATCGAGCTACACCCGCCATCTCCCTTCCGATCACAGCTACTCACATCTTAATTCCGCGGCGGCTTTGGTCACTGTGGCGTCAATACTCCCGGACGACAGGCCTCATTCCGCCTATCCTGCAGAGCAGTTTGCAGCGCTTGTCAGACCCCAGCCAACGAATCGTGAAATAAAGGGGTGTACGCAAAGGATCATCTGCAGCAATTGGCGCGCGAGCAGAGCTGTACATGTGTAGCTGGCTTCTCCCGCTTTCGGGTATAAAACGTATCCAGTTACGACATCTGTATCCAGTCGTAGTTGGGTTGATACAGGGACACGGCGCGATAAGAATAGAACCTCCCCCAATGTGTCCGGATTGAGAGAGGTGCTGTTAGACAGGAGAGCTATCATTAGACAGCCCGTCGATCGGACACATGTGTAACAGGAATACGCACGATAGCAATTGGACGGCCGCGGCCAGCGCCCGGGAAACGTGCGCTAATTAAAACCGCATGCGGCCGTCATCGATACTACGGGCTGTTAACTTCGACAAGATAAGCTGATTGATACCAACCGGGGATCATTCTGTCGAAGAGGCGGTGTTAAAGAGCGCGAGAGTGATTCTATTTGTACGGAAACGTGTAGGGTGGGCCACCCAGTGGCCAGCCTTCAGCTGTGGAGGGGATCGTAAGCGGAGATGAAAGCGAGGAAAAATCTGCGGAACGACAGGAATTCATAAAATTATAAGGATGGATGTTCATACCTGCAGCTGGGGTGACATTCTTCCTATATGGGCAGGTGTAGCGTCCTCCAACCCTATGCTCCTCGCGAAAGGCATACCCCGGGAGGAATTACACCCCCGAGGGCGTGCGCCGATCGTCTGAGGATAGATCAGTGCCTCGTTAGGATGCAGGAAAGGATGCATATAGAGCATACATCCTGCCGAGCTCGTTCCCGTCCGTCTCGAGAGGAATGCAGCCCCCCGAAAAGCTGATTTTGATGACCTCTTTTCCGCATGCGTTTTGCCCAGCCAGAATCCGAGAAATGCCATGACACGAGATTCGTGAGTGAGCAGATTGCCAGAGTCAGAGGATGTACAGAAACGTCCAAAGTCTACGCTGAAGCTCCTCAAGCGCATTTTTTCGCCCATCAAAAGTCAGCGACGCGTCAGAACGGCAAGGGCGTACCGCGTCCCTCGGGCCTTGTGTGGACCGCTCTCTCGGGTGAGGACGAAATCCAGCATCTGGATGGAAGATAGAACCCTGGTGAAAGTGGAATCCAGCTGGGGCTTCCCGCCAGCGCGCCGTATCGTGTCGGGGACTGGTGGCAAGAGGAAGAGCTCGAGGCACGCCATCAACAGTCGGATCATGAGCCCGTCGCCGTCGGGAGATGCCGGGCTCGGGGGATACCGGACTTCGTGAGATGTTGATATTGGGAACTGAAGGCGCTATATGCTGCTTCAAGATGTGCTGATGCATCGATTACCCCCCAAAGTCGCATTGATCCCGAGACTGCATCGAGAACATTTTCCTTGGTATGTCGTGGTTGAACACGAAATTGTTGCGAAATTGTAGACCAAGCAAAGGTCCAGAGGAGCTGAACATCGGCCTCAAAAATACATGCACGTCTATCTCAATGTCTCCATCCTATTACTGTATCGCTATTGTTCGCTTCGCTAGACGGTCGCATATTCTCGGATTTTATAAGTAGACACGATCAGATTCAGCCACACAACCTCGTTGAAAAATGTGCTCAATACAGAGGAGAGCCTTCGCTCGAGTCAGTTGAGAGGGTGACGACCCGAACAATGGGAACGCACATTCAAGATGACGCGGCAACTGCACCCAGGGTATATGCCGCACCACACAAGGATGGGCATGCGCTCCTCTACGCCATCGGGCTCAGTTCGAGGGGGACTGAGGGCAACACTGCCTACCGTCCATTTACCTCGTCTAGAGTAATGTCCCAATTTCAAGGGGGTTTTCGCTGGCTGCATCAGTATCATAGAGGCAGGATATGAAGGATGTCCATTCAGCCTGACAACTACAACTCGAACGGGCCGGTGCCCGTGACATGGGAAGACGCCAAAAGGCAGTGCAGGCTGGCACTCTCTCTATAACCACCACGATCGCCGACGATACAATGGAAACCGGACCTGCTTTCCCTCCCGAACTTGAGCGCGAAATCTTTGAGACGACAGCCCTGGTTCACCCAGGCACAATCCCAGCGCTCTTGCGAGTCGCCCGACGCACTCATATCTGGTTTGCTTCGTTGACACTTCGAAAACTTTGATATGACTTGACTTTGGTTCAGGATCGAGCCGTTCCTGTACAGAGCAGTCAGTGTCGGAGGAACTTCCCCATTCTCAGACATGGGCCGTGCGATTCTTCGAGCTACAAAATCGAAACCGGCCAGTTTCTTCCACAGTGCTGTCCGGCACTTGTTTCTGGACACATCTGCCTCTTGGACGTTCGACGAAGCAGTGGAAGTCATCAAGGTCTGTACAGGGCTTGTGGAATTCGCCTCTTATGGAGATTTTCTCGATCCCACCCTGCTGCTAATGTTGGGAGAGCTGCCCCTGCGCCGCCTTTCCACGGATCTATATCGGTTGTTCGATGGATACGAGTCAATCGACCTCACGCACCCGGTTTTTGCATCTCTCACCCACCTCGAGATCCTGGACCCGATTTATGACGACGACACCCGGATAATCGCCTACCTCCCTACGCTGCCCGCCATCACCCACTTGCGCCTGAGCGATAACGTGCCATGGAAGCATGTAGAAACGCTGCTGGCGGAATGCCCCCGCCTCGAGCTTTTAATCAGCCTCTTTCCGCGAAGGAAGGAGTCGTGGGCCGTCCGGCGCGCCCGGATGTCTCCGATCCACGATCCACGCTTCGTGATTACAATCTTCAGGAGCTCTCCGGAGAGTTGGGAGGCTTACCAGCGTCGCCCGACCACTTGGTCGGTAGCCGAGGATTTTGTGGCGCTGAGGCGTAGTGGAGCCATTGATCGTAAGCGGGCGCCTTCTTGACACCCAAAAGTGTCTTCTAACACAAACACTAGCAAGCTCTTGCCTACTGCACCCCAACAGTCCTTCCTCCGTTTCGCAGTGATTCGAAAATTGCTTGTGTAAAACGCTGCGGTGCCATGACACTGCGGGCAAATGCCGAGGCATGTGGACATCACATGTGCAATACGCATTGTTAGGATTTTGCGTTTTGCGGGCGTAAGTCAGTAATAGATTACTGATGTCGTGAGTGATGTTTTTGGAAATATGAGTTTATAGGTCGTAAGTCGTTAGAGCGTATCTGACTAGAGCAGATAGCAGGGTTCGTAAATTCTCAATGCGAGTGACTCAAACTTAAATCGGTCAACCAGTATAACTACAATTGTGACCTTGTGTCCCAGTGGGCTCTGCGCTTAACAAGGGATAACACAAGGCGATAACTTCCTATAGGCTACAGTGGGCTAGGTAGTTAGTTGAAATCGGCTATAGGCAACTTAGGCTAGCTTATTCGAGGGGTAGTTGTAGATGCTACGTAGTGGATTGAAGTAAAGATGTGGTGCCGTCACATGAGGACAGGCTCTCATTATATAGCTAAGGAGTGTGGTTGCTAGAACATTCTACGTAGCATTGGAACATTCTTGTGTTGCACTAGAATGTTCCTTGAAATGGTTAATGAATGTGAGTCAGAGTTATGGAAATGTTCTAGAATATTCCAGTAAGACCAGGATTATACTCCGAACATCTCGCAGGTACTGTGTAAGTAAAGAAGCATCTACATAGATTGACCATGCACTAAACCATAAGGGCTTAGCACTTAATTGATGTGGAAAACATGTGGGAAACATGTTTTCGCAGCGAGCACGAGTTCAAATCAAACTCGGATAGTTCCGATCAAATATTGATGGATGTGAACGTACTTGAGTTTAAGCTGTTCAGAAGCTTGAACTTGAGTCTGAGTCAAGTTCTGGGACTCAGAATAATGATTTAGAAGTGTGTCTTCACTATCAAGCCAACAATAGAATATTATAATCAATAATATGCAGAGAATTCAATGAGATAATGAATTCTACAATATTCCATAACACGCATGTGATGACCATGTGTTCCTCATGTGTTCGGCATGCTCCGAAAAAAGGCTTTTTGGGCCTGGATCGATGCATGCCGAACACATGCCGAACACATGCGTCATCACATGCGTATTGCGCATGTGATGTCCACATGCTTCGGGCCCTGATCGAACGGGCGACTTCCGCAGACAATGTATGATTAAGTTCAACGGATGTCATTCAATTTCACCACCGAGTTGATAATTGTTGTGAGGTGGACTGTGATATTTGGGTGAGAATTGAATGGGGAGAGCTAGGGAGATGACGGCTCTCGACACGAGTCAGCATACTCATTATGGTGGGTGTAGCACTCGGGATATTCAGGCCATCGCTGTTGGGTCGTGTAAGAACTCCTTGATATATATACGATATATATCAAAGGGGATATATTGACTCTATTGGCAGCGTGTGCATGAGCTGAGACGCCCGACGCGGGCAGGGGCACTTTCCAACGGATAGAACTGTGCACTTCAAAACCTTGCTCATCTTCGATTACCCACGGCGACAAAAGGGCATACTGAGAAAAAAAAACTATGCAGAGACAACACCAATAACTCGGGCCCGGATTGAACGGGTGCCTTCCGCGACCATGACCATGGTGCATCACTTTAAACTGAGAGTCTGAGCCGGATATGATTCGATTTCACCACCGAGTTGATAAAGCCTGTGGCTGCACGACGTTACGTGGGTGAGAATTGGGCGAAAGGAAACTCGGAGGATCGGACCGCGAGCCCGGGTGGTGTGGGTGGGCTCCGAGCAATTGCGACTTCGAGATAAAGAGGGAAGGAAAGACGGGTGCGAACGCGGGCGTGTGGGCGGAAGACAGAGGTCAGAGAGTTACAAACCGTAGTATGACCCATGGACCATGGTTCTGGTATCTGAGCAAGGGGGTTCTGATCTGTGAATAAAGGAACCGGTGTCGGTTTTTAAGATTTTTCGCCCTCGGGGTGAACCAACCAACTACGTAATACCCCCGTAAGGGAATTTATCACGTGCTGAGTCACCTGCGCACTTAAATCGTGTTCAGCGACCAATCCACGGCACTTGGGTCGTTGGTTCGGTCACGAAGATCAATGAAAACTTTCATCTGAATCCATCGACCAATTCTTTGTACTCTAATTACCCTATAAGGTACTTTATTTCCCAACCCGGCGGCGCTTGCAAGTTGCCAGCGGGGCGAGTGGAGACATATGCCTCACACAACCTTAGCTATATTTCGCTTCATCCACCGGGCTTCCCGAAGCCATCGAAAGGAGCGGGGATTGTCGTTATCAAGGGTGGCAAGTGAAATTTTGATTTCCTTGTGATTTTACAAGTTATTTACCCGCGCCCGCATCTGAATTGGGCGATTTCGCCGTTAATGGTGCGATATTGCATCGAATAAAGGTCAGAGAGCTATGTGTGAAGGTCAGTATGCTCTGAGACACCAATATGACTTGTTTCCAGCCAAAAACAAGATGGTTCCCAGAAGAAAAAAATCGGCCTGGCGGCCGAACCAACCGACCGACACCTGGTCCGGCATTCACGGACCGGCACCCCCTTGTATCTGAGAGCTCGGCAGTGCTCCGAGTCGCCGGTCCGGCTAAACTGCGGATCCTCCCTGGGAACTTGAAGCCACGAGTAAAGAGGAAAAGGACGAAGCTGTTATGCGAAGGGATGTTGGATTATCAACCGGAGCACCGACGCACTTCCTCCTGGCTATGCGGGCTCTGAGGTGGAAGTTCGTCTCTGCCGACTGTTCTACTCATCCCGACTCACTCTCATGGACACAACTCATATCAACTGCTCCTTGTGTGCTCCTCCTTGTGATCCCTTCGTCCCGACTCCTGTCTACTCATATGCGCGCTGTTTTCCTATTTTGGTACTTACCTCCTTTCGTACGTATGACTCCCTCGCTTGTATAAGTACAGTAGCAATTTATTCGAGACCTCTGCGCGTTTTCAGAGGGTCACTGTACATCGGGCCGATTTCCTCCAAGGGACTCGAGCCTGAATCGAACAGGCGCCCTCTGCGCTCAAAGGGTTTTTGATTACCCGGAACTACCTGCAGATGCGGACCCTCCGTCACCGAGTCTGTGGAAGCCACAGACCGCACCTGGATATATGCAAGAGCTGGGACTCGTTTGATGCTCATTGCATTGCAAGGGAAAATTGGGCACAGGTCGGAGAGCGCGGTGTCCCGGGTTGTTGATGTGCTGGCCAAGGCAGCTATGAAAAATGTGAGCATCATCGCCCGCCAAGGGCGAATGAAGAAAGCGGAGAGGAAATAGCCAGAACGACTGGGTACCCAGGGATATCGGCGAGTTCGCTTCGTGACTCGCATCAAGGCAGAACTACGACGCATGACTGGGAAGGCATGGTCGTCCCGTGCTCTGAAATTCCACGGGATCTGGTTGGAGCGAATTGGGAGAGGAGACGGGATCGCGAAGCTAGATAAGTTGGAGAGAACGTAAATGAGGGAAGAGAACTGCCTGGAAAAAACCTGATTAGTTGTTTCGATGTAATCCGCGGCCGAGTTGAACGGGTAGATGCGGGGGTGGGTTCTGCTCAAATTTTTCCAAACATGGGGTATATGAAGCAGATACGGACCGTCCGCCACCGAGTCAATCCAGGGGATAAAACGTACCTAGCTATATGCCCGAGAGCGGGGATCCGTTGCAGGACCAACTAGCACCAGCACCGAGCGCGATATCGTCTTCGGTGGGTTCTGGCAAAGAAAAATATCTCAGTACAGACTCCAGTCGGACAGGGGAACTTGGAAACAGAGCAGGAAAAATAAGTACATCCTGTATTCCTTCGCGACCCACGACTCGAGTCTCGGGCCCGATTCGAAGGGTATCTGCCGCAGAGGCAGGGCCAGTCTCCCCTACATGTAACAGGGACCGAGTTCTTCCGGCTGCGAGCTGCAGCTCGAATGTATCTGGCCAAAACATCAGCGCGCGGAAGATGACGGCGGGATCAGAAAGAGAGTGATCGCCTCTCGGCATCCGCTCCGCATGCACGCGGTTGCTGTACCTCATCCCCTTCTCGTGAGCTAACCTCGCTTCTCGTTGCCGGCTGCCGAAACCCTCCTTAATCTGAGGCCATTTCCGGCGAAATAAAACCCTTTGAATGTCCGATTTTTCTCCGGCTCTGCAACCAGAAAGCAAACATAAAAGGTCGTCAATTTAGTCGTAAAAAATATAGCAGGCATGTGTGAAGTACTACGAGTCTGATATAAAGAGAGAAGGTGAGGAATTACAAGTCTCCATAACAGCCAGCATGCACCCTAAAACAGCGAAATCATAACTTGACATTCCCACAGTAAGCTTTCGATGGTAATGTAAAACCCTCTCACGTTAGTGATGTGGGGTTTATTATGAACCTACGGAGGCCTTCAGCATGGCTGCGGCCTTTTCGCCGATGCCATAAATGAGGGCCTGCGAATCAGGTTAAAAGTTAAATATTGACGAATGAATACTGGTGACGCTCACCGAAGGATGTGAACTGGGCTGGAAAGGGATAATCGACCCATCTACGACGAAGACGTTGGTAGTTCCTACATACGTTGCATTTAGGTTTGGACAAGAAGACAGGTACGGAAAAAGATGCACCCTTAACCCTCAAGTTGGCGTCCACAACACTGCCGATGGCTGCAGTTCCAAGAGGATGCCACGCAACGCCCATAGAATCCTTGACGAATTGGGAGAACTGCGCGTCGGTTGTGATGGCGGCACCGGGCAACAGTTCGCCTGCAAGGAAAGGGGTCAGTGAGGCCTGGTTGGCGAATCTGCGCGCCCGTTGGGTAGCTTTGGTGAGGATATAGAGATCGAAAGGTGATTGGACACTAGAGCGAGCCTTGAGTTATCTGCATGAGTTGGCTGGAGGAAGGGAAGGGACATACAGGGCAAGGTCGAATGAGGGTGCAGCCGTTACATTAGCAGAGACGATGTGCTGTAAGCCAATGAACAACAAAAAACTAAAATCGAAAGACTGCCGACTCACAGAGGACCCGCGAGACATGGGGTGGAGCAAGATCGGTAAGAAAATGAGGCCAGCGGGGTTGGGGATGGGGAAGGCCATGAATTCAATGATCGGAGAATTGCTCAAGAACATGGCGATGAGTGCTTTGTGAGCAGCATCACTGAGACCAGGTGGAGCAGTCTGGAGGAGCGTGTAGGCAGTGATCCACTCAGTGGAGTTGAGGAGTGTACGGGGGGATTCAACTGATGAATAAGTCAGAATGGACGACTTTCGAGGACGAACAAAAGTCACTGACAATTGAGGGGGAGCTGGACTCCAGTGTCTGTGATACCTGGGACGATCGTTTATGGATTTAAACAAATCGATGCGAGTTGAATGTACCTGACGCAAAAGCCGCGAGATATGTCGTGGTAGGTTCTACGGATCAGTTGATGCCAAGTTAATGGGTTGAACATTTGAGCGATGGAATAAAGACACACGTTCACTGAGATTTTCACCAACGGCAGGAAGGTTGACAACCGTAGAAATGCCAAGGGGGTTGATGATCTATATTTCGCGAAACAATCAGTAAAGATTTGGGAGCGACATAATCATTGATTGACCTTAGGATTGCCAATGCCGCTAAGCTCCAGGACCTGGGGCGTCCCGAAGACTCCTGCACTCAAGATAACTCGATCGCCGCACTAACGAGTGAGTTAACTTAAACTGATGACGAATAAGATGAGAAGATGGACACACAACGGTGAGTTTCTTTCTGGCAGCGTTGATGTATTCAACACCAGTGGCAACTGCCTTCCCGTTCTTGGATTTCCCCCACAAGATACGCGCAACGGTCGCGTTGACCATCACCTGGAGGTTCGGGCGTCCGGCGTTGGGCAGATCTGCCGCAACCGCAAGGTGAGCCAAACCTGGGTATGAAGAAGGTTCGAGACATACAGTAGGAGTTGGCCGAGTACGAGCGAGTCGAGTTCGGGAACATTGCCTTGGGAGCATACCAAATTCCTCTTGGGTCGCCACCATTCTGGTCTAGGCTTTCTGTCCCGCCGGCAGCGACAACTGCGGGAATTACCCCTTCCACCCAGACACTAAAGCACGTCAGTTATCAAGCCACAATGATGATCGCCACACCTACTTTCCAACGGGGGTTCGCTGCGAGTCGAAGATAGGACCGCTTGTTCCATGGAACTCCAGAATGCTCGTGAGCCCTGCGGTCGCCGAAAAGTGCTCAGCCTGAAGGGTGTGTAAACAGCCGGCAATATCGCTGGGACATGGGAACACGAACCGTCTTAATCGCAGCAGAGATGGTGTTCCAGTTCCTGTATGGTGCCGGGTCAGTGATCGCAGAACTGAGAAATAAAACGGTACCTACCATCCAGTTGCACCGAAGGCTGATTCCCAAAGATCCAGGTCAATCTTACTGGGACGGGTGAACAACGCGCCGTTCACCGCAGATGAACCGCTAAGACAGGATGTGTTAATCTCAGGGCCCGAGACGAATATGTGGATGTACCCTAAAACTTTGCCTCTGGTCTCAGCGATGATCTGGTTCGACGCGAATTTCAAAGGTAGAGATGTGTAGTTCCAGTCCACAGAACTTCCAGGGAGGGCTTGAACTGAGGAAATGCTGAGGTTGGCGATATTGGGACTAGGCATCAGATGTCAGACGCAGATCGAAATGGACGTTATTACTCTGG